AAAGGGTAAAATACTTAAAATACTTGATTAAATTGTTTACTTCGACGGTATGTAAATTAACAGCGTTTGACTTGCAAGACGTCAAAAACGGACGATTTCAACGCGCTGTCGTTTATCGCGTATTCATTTGCCAAAAGAAGTATTTACGTCAATTGAAAGCTTGTTTATTAAAGAGCCCACTAGTAGAAGCATGATCGATTTGAAGCTTTATCGCATGGTGAAAATCGGTTTTGTTAAGAGGGTATCGTAAATGAAGTAAGATAGTGTGCTCCAAAACTACGATTATTTCTATTCCTAAAAGTGACTCAGATTTCTTGTAAGTAAGGTACCTGGGACTTTGAATAACCGAAAACAAGATTTTTAGGGTTTTAAATCGATTAGAAACAGTTGTCGTCGTGAAATTTGTCTGTAAAATCAGCGCATATTTTCCCAGACAAAATGGCGATTTAGGGTGGTCGTGTTAAAACGGCATTTTCTCAAAGTTAAAAAAGCATTTGACCTAAAAAAATATCTGGTGCATTTTCCGATATAATAAGGTATATCTGGGCAAAATTTGAGCAAAATCGATTTTTCAGTCGTGGCCGCCTTATGTTTGATTTTTGTGGACATCCTCTCTTAAATTCGCTCTGAAATCCGTGAGGGAATAACAAAATTCGGCCAAAATATATCCGCGTGCCGGGTTTGCTGTGCAAAAAGCGGAAGTCGTTGAACAACTCAAAATACACTCAACCCTGATTGGACAACGAATATCAACAAACATTTCAAATTTTTTTAACAGTACTGTAATAATTTCAATCATACAAACAAAACTATTCACAAACGTTATAATAAAGTGTAAATATTACTGCATGTAAATATAACTGTAGTACGTTAATATGTATAATAAATTGTATTTCACATTGTGTTTGTTAAAAAAAATGAAATGTTTGTTGATATTCGTTGTCCAATCAGGGTGGAGTGTATTTTGAGTTGTTCAACGACTTCCGCTTTTTGCACAGCAAACCCGGCACGCGGATATATTTTGGCCGAATTTTGTTATTTCCTCACGGATTTCAGAGCGAATTTAAGCTCTTTGATTAAAGCAGCGTTGTTTTGAGAGTTATACGGTATCATTCTTGCAGGGGATATCGATTAATCGTGAAAGAAATGCATTAAAAGCGAAAAATCGAGGATAGTTTCGTGTGACCTATGCCAGGTCTGGGCTATTTTGGTCTCAATGTCTCCTTCCTTCCCACGTTATAAGGAAGGCACAGGCGGGCGCGGGCAAATCGAGCCTGGGCCTCCTGTGTTTAATACAGGCACCCCCTCCCTATTGAGGGGTCCCTTCATAATCCCCTCCGGATATAAACATTTCGGAACCTTGGATGCAATTTTTGGACGTTACCCCATAGGATATCTTACTAACCCCTTTTATAGGATATCATTTTGCCATTTTTTAAAAAATTCTCACAACCTACCCCTCCGGAAATTTTTAAGACTGTGACGAAGACCCCCTTCCCATTGGATATCTAGGATGTGCACATACCACGG